AAATTTAATTCGAGTCTTTTGTTTGATATTCTGCAATGTACCATTGACAATGACTAAAGGAAACGTTCTGTTTCTCTTGGGCAGCTAAATTGTGCATGAATTGCAAAGGATAATTTTGCGTTCTGATAATATGTTGGAAAGTTTTTTTTCCGTTTAATGTCCCGAATGTTCTCTTTGCAATTTTTCTATTTTGACCTGTGCAATCCCTGGGTTGCATCTGGTTTTTTAGGTCAAATTATGGTCCGTTTTGGCGTTTGATTGATGATATGCACTTATCTTTAGATTGTACGAGGCAACGTTTTCTTGCAATAGTTACCCTAGTGATTCTGGTCTGTAGCAAATCTTAACGAATATCAATAAAATCTAGTTTGATCTTAAAAGCTTATGTTTTTTGCTTATACAGTCATCGCTGATTGATAGTCTTCCAGTGCTAGATATAATCCATATGTCTAAGGTTTAATAATTTATTCTCACAAGTGATGATTTGAGGCATTTGTTTGATACTCTGCAATGTACAATTGGCGATGTCTAAATGAAACGTTCTGTTTCCCGTGGGCAGCTAAATTGTGCATCAATTGCGAATGATAATTTTGCGATCTGATAAATTTTTGGAAAGTAATTAATTCCTTTGTTCCCGATTATTCTCATTGCAACGTTTTTATTTTGAAAGAACTTGTTCACAATCTCTGGGTTGCAACTAGTTTTTTTGATGTTGTGTTACGTTTTTGTCGTTTGGTTGATGATATGCAGTTACCTTTTGTGATTATTTAAAAGTTTTTTTTTAAAAAAACTACGCTATTGATTCTGGTCTGTAGCAGATGAGTTCCTTGTAAAAAAATGTTCAAAAATGAATTTGTTGTTTTTTGATGAAGGTTTCTTAACATACAGTCCCCAGCTGATTATTTCTCCCTTGATTTATTTTGTTTCTCTAAGGTTCGATAATTGGCTCACAAATTTGATTCGAGTCTTTTGTTTGATACTCTGCAATGTACCATTGACGATGTCTAAAGGAAACATTCTGTTTCCCTTGGGCAGCTAAATTGTGCATGAATTGCCAAGGATAATTTTACGTTCTAATAAGTTTTTTTGGCAAGTTTTTTTTCCGTTTAATGTCCCGAATGCTCTCTTTGCAATTTTTCCATTTTCACCTGTGCAATCTCTGGGTTGCATCTGGTTTTTTAGGTCAAGTTGTGGTCCGTCTCGGCGTTTGATTGACGATATGCACTTATCTTTAGATTGTACGAGGCAACGTTTTCTTGCAATAGTTACCCTAGTGATTCTGGTCTGTAGCAAATCTTAACGAATATCAATAAAATCTAGTTTGATCTTAAAAGCTTATGTTTTTTGCTTATACAGTCATCGCTGATTGATAGTCTTCCAGTGCTAGATATAATCCATATGTCTAAGGTTTAATAATTTATTCTCACAAGTGATGATTTGAGGCATTTGTTTGATACTCTGCAATGTACAATTGGCGATGTCTAAATGAAACGTTCTGTTTCCCGTGGGCAGCTAAATTGTGCATCAATTGCGAATGATAATTTTGCGATCTGATAAATTTTTGGAAAGTAATTAATTCCTTTGTTCCCGATTATTCTCATTGCAACGTTTTTATTTTGAAAGAACTTGTTCACAATCTCTGGGTTGCAACTAGTTTTATTGATGTTGTGTTACGTTTTTGTCGTTTGGTTGATGATATGCAGTTACCTTTTGTGATTATTTAAAAGTTTTTTTTTTTATAAACTACGCTATTGATTCTGGTCTGTAGCAGATGAGTTCCTTGTAAAAAAATGTTCAAAAATGAATTTGTTGTTTTTTTGATGAAGGTTTCTTAACATACAGTCCCCAGCTGATTATTTCTCCCTTGATTTATTTTGTTTCTCTAAGGTTCGATAATTGGCTCACAAATTTGATTCGAGTCTTTTGTTTGATACTCTGCAATGTACCATTGACGATGTCTAAAGGAAACATTCTGTTTCCCTTGGGCAGCTAAATTGTGCATGAATTGCCAAGGATAATTTTACGTTCTAATAAGTTTTTTTGGCAAGTTTTTTTCCGTTTAATGTCCCGAATGCTCTCTTTGCAATTTTTCCATTTTGACCTGTGCAATCTCTGGGTTGCATCTGGTTTTTTAGGTCAAGTTGTGGTCCGTCTCAGGGTTTGATTGACGATATGCACTTACCTTTAGATTGTACGAGGCAACGTTTCCTTGCAATAGTTACCCTAATGATTCTACCTGTAGCAAATCTTAGCGAATATCAATAAAAATTAGTTTCATCTTGAAAGCTTATGTTTTTTGCTCATACAGTTATCGCTGATTGGTAGTCTTCCAGTGCTAGATATAATCCCTATGTCTAAAGTTTAATAATTTGCTCTGACAAGTGGTGATTTGAGGCTTTTGTTTCATACTCTGCAATGTACAATTGGCGATGTCTAAATGAAACATTCTGTTTCCCGTGGGCAGCTAAATTGTGCATGAATTGCAAATGATGATTTCGCGATATGATAAATTGTTGGAAATCAGTTTTTTTCGATTTTTGTCCCGAAAGTTCTCATTGCATTTTTTTCATTTTGACCTGTTCAATCTCTGGGTTGCATCCGGTTTTTTAGGTCGAATTGTGGTCCGTTTTGGCGTTTGATTGATGATATACTCTTACCTTTAGATTGTACGAGGCAACGTTTCCTTGCAATATTTGCCCTAATGATTCTGGTCTATTGCAAATCTTAACGAATATCAATAAAATCTAGTTTGATCTTGAAAGCTTATGTTTTTTGCTTATACAGTCATCGCTGATTGGTAGTCTTCCAGTGCTAGATATAATCCCTATGTCTAAGGTTTAATAATTTGTTCCCAAAAATGATGATTTGAGGCATTTGTTTGATACTCTGCAATGTACAATTGGCGATGTCTAAATGAAACGTTCTGTTTCCCTTGGGCAGCTAAATCGTGCATGAATTGCAAATGATAATTTCGCGATTTGATAAATTATTGGAAAGTCATTATTCCGTTTAGTCCCAATAGTTCTCATTGCAATTTTTGTGTTTTGAATTAACTTGTTCACAATCTCTGGGCTGCAACTAGTTTTTTTGATGTGTTACGTTTCGCCGTTTGGTTGATGATATCCAGTTACCTTTTGTGATTATATAAAACGTTTCCTTCAAATAGCTACGCTAATGATTCTGGTCTGTAGCAAATGAGCTCTTTGTAAAATCATGTTCAAAACTGAATTTGTTGTTTTCTGATGAAGGTTTCTTACACACAGTCACCAGCTGATTATTTCTCCCTTGATTTTATTCGTTTCTCTAAGGTTCAATAATTGGCTCCCAAATTTGATTCGAATCTTTTGTTTAATACCCTGCAAGGTATCATTGACGATGTCTTAAGGAAACGTTCTGGTTCCCTTGGGCAGCTAAATTGTGCATGAATTGCAAATGATAATTTCGCGATTTGATAATTTTTTGGAAAGTCATTATTCCATTTAGTCCCGATAGTTCTCCTTGCAACTTTTATGTTTTGAATTAACTTTCACAATTTCTGGGTTGCAACTAGTTTTTTTCAAGGAGTTTTGTTACTTTTTGTCGTTTGGTTGATTATTTGCAGTTACTTTTTATGATTACATGAGACGTTTCTTTGCAATAGCTACGCTAATGATTCTGGTCTGCCGCAAATGAGTTCCTCATAAAATAATGCTTAAAACTGAATTTGTTGTTTTCTGATGAAGGTTTCTTAACATAGAGTCCCTAACTGATTATTTGTCCCTTGATTTATTTTGTTTCCCTAGGGTTCAATAATTGGCTCCCAAATTTGATTCCAGCCTTTTGTTTGATACTCTGCAGTTTACAATTGGCGATGTCTAAATGAAAGTCCTGTTTCGCTTGGGCAGCTGAATTGTCCATGAATTGCAAATGAAAGTTTTGCGATCTGATAAATTGTTGGAAAGTCTTTTTTCCGTTTATTGTCCCGAAAGTCCTCATTGCAACTTTTTTGTTTTGAATTAACTTGTTACAATCTCTGGATTGCAACTTGTTTTTTTGATGTTGTGTTACTTTTTGTCGTTTAGTTGATGATATGCAGTTACCTTTTGTGATTATATAAAAGTTTCTTTTAAATAGCTACGCTAATGATTCTGGTCTGTAGCAGATGAGTTCCTTGTAAAATCATGTTCAAAACTGAATTTGTTGTCTTCTGATGAAGGTTTCTTAACATACAGTCCCCAGCTGATTATTTCTCCCTTGATTTTTTTGTTTCTCTAAGGTTCAATAATTGGCTCCCAAATTTGATTCGAGTCTTTTGTTTGATACTCTGCATTGTACCATTGACATTTTATATAATCACAAAAGGTAACTGCATATCATCAACTAAACGACAAAAAGTAACACAACATCAAAAAAACTTGTTGCAACCCAGAGATTGTGAACAAGTTAACTCAAAACACAAAAGTTGCAATGAGAACTATCGGGACTAAATGGAATAATGACTTTCCAACAATTTATCAAATCGCGAAATTATCATTTGCAATTCATGCACAATTTAGCTGCCCAAAGGATACAGAACGTTTCCTTTAGACATCGTCAATGGTACATTGCACAATATCAAACAAAAGACTCGAATTAAATTTGAGAGCCAATTATTGATCCTTAGAGAAACGAAATAAATCAAGGGAGAAATCATCAGCTGGGGACTGTATGTTAAGAAACCTTCATCAGAAAACAACAAATTCAGTTTTCAACATGATTTTACAAGAAACTCATCTGCTACAGACCAGAATAATTAGCGAAGCTATTCAAAAGAAACTTTTATATAATCACATAAGGTAACTGCATATCATTAACTAAACGACAAAAGGTAACACAACATCAAAAAAACTAGTTGCAACCAAGAGATTGTGAACAAGTTTATTCAAAACAAATCTCTTGGTTGCAACTAGTTTTTTTGATTGAGTTGTGTTACGTTTTTTCGTTTAGTTGATGATATGCAGTTAATCTTTTATTTGTTCTAGGCAGCTAATTTCTTCGGCTGCCCGACTCAGTGCAAAGAGGAGTTTGTTCGTCGTGATCCGAAGAGAGAGATGTTCGGGTACACAGCTCAGGATAAGTCGACCGAAGTGTTTGACAGAAGCAAACCGAGTGATATAAAGGCAAGACCAAGACCAGTCAGGGTGACCTTTTTTATTGCTGCTCTGAAAAGGACATCTTGAATGTTCAAAATATATCGACCTTGAGACTTTGAAACGGCATTGAAATTGAAACTGTATTTGGAACTGAAATTGAAAACAGTCTATGGAGCAATGCAAAACAGTCTATGGAGCAATGCAAAACGGGTGGTATACAAACAGCCGAAGTATCAATCAGCCGAAAATATGTCAGCGGTATATAATAGTTATGTAACAATTATGTAATATTTCCGAAAATTATGCAGTTTTCATTCATATGATGCAACTTTTCGGCTGGTTCATACTTCGGGCGGTTTATTCAGACTCGCAAAACGATTGCCCTTTTCCATAGGCACTCATTTCAAGGATACAAAAATTATTTCATTAAACAAAGGGTTGCCGACCATTTTTTTTTCACAGCATTGGAAAACAAATGCCGATAAAAGACCTTCTGAAGTTTCAACTTGAAAAAAAGAAAGCCCAGTTATTTGTTATTTAAATAAGATGTGAATAACTATTTGGTGCCTACCATTTCGAGAGGTAGCTTACATTGATCTTTTTTGGCAATAGTTGAATTTGAAGTGCCGTGTCCGATTCTGTTCAGGAGACTTTCGAGTTTTCTCCCAATGGTCTGGACCCTGTACCTTCCGAAGAGTGGCAGCGTTGTCGGGAGTTGCTCTCTGGACAGTTTTCTGATTTATTCCACAAAATGCTGGTTCTTCTAGCACGCGGTAAGCTGACACAATTAAGTTTGCTTCCTAAGCCGTACAAGCAATTCGGCCGAAGATAATTACAAGGATAGCCGGCTCTTTTCCATCCCCCCTCTGATGTTATTCTGAAAGTCAAAATATGAAAGCCTTAATTATAATGGTTACTTATGTAATTAAATGCAATAAAATGTGTCAGCGTGAACCTTTCACAACACTTTACATGCAAGTTGCAGTATGAACAGCTATTTTACACAAGCAAAGCTTTTTGTTATAAAAAGAACTTTCTTTTTTCCAACCTTTAGCTTCAAGGTATCATGGATCTGTAGCGTAGAGGTAGGGAAGGCGACCAGCAACAAAATAAGAGGGTTCAAACCTGGACAGGGTCGGATGTTTTTAATCAACTTTTTTTGTAAACTAATTAAAATGTGTCCGCTCTATAAATTGGGGCATGCTTGATGGTAAATTTCTTTTTTTTTTCAAATTGATTGGTATTTTTAATGCATCATAATAAGCTTGCGTCCCCTAGCAATTATGTAGAGTCATAATTGGCTTGGCGTGCGTCACTTGAAAAGTTTTGTAGACTCAGAGTTTTACTTCGCCTCCGTGTTCAATTTAATTTTCTCTAAGCAATGCAAATTTTGCTCACCAATATTGTGCAAATAGCACTAAAAGATTTTGTTGACATCAGTTTCAAAAGTAAAGTTTATTTTTTAGATTTCCCAGCGGAAAATAAAAACTATTTATTGATCCAATTTTCTCAAATTTTGGTTTGTTTTATCGAAAAAGTGACAAACAAAAATGTTTATGAGTGTAATATTATGTTCTTAAAGTTGTTCTTATTAGATTTATGATTGTATTTTCTTCTCTGTAAAATTTTATTAAGTGTAAAAAACGACGTGAAGATGGCTTTTTTGTTATTTTTTTTGCTAAAACAAAGACAACAGGTAATTGATTTTCAATTCTTTTTAAGGCTGTTTTTGAACTTCTTTCTAGACAGCCATGAAGTTTTTGCAGCTGTATCTTTTTCAGGTTATTGTTTATAGTTATTTTTTCAATAAAATTGTTCAGAAATTTTTTGGGTATCTTCAACCTTTTTTTCTCAAACAAAGCTTGTGTGGTAGTATGAACCCTCTTTTTTCTCCAACCTAAGTCGCAAATTTTAGTATTCGTTTTGAAAGTGTTCTTTTAGAGCAGTATGTGCACAAGATCAATAACCAGCTATTAAGTACAGCCAATGCTACGGATATTAACACAGACTATTATACTACAAACTGCGCTTTAGCTTCAAGGTATCATGGATCTATAGCGTAGAGGTAGGGAAGGAAACCTGTAACAAAATAAGAGGTTTCGAACCTGGGCAGGGTCGGATGTTTTTAATGAACTTTTTCGTATACTAGTTCAAATGCGTCCGCTCTATAAATTGAGGCATGTTAGTTGGTAAATTTCTTTTTCAAATTGGCTAGTACTGCTACTGGGTCATAATTGCCTTGCGTCACTTAGCAATTATGTTGACTCATAATTGGCGTGCGTCATTTAAGCAATTTTGTAGGCTCAAAGTTTTACTCATTCAGTTTTTCTCAGTTTTTCCCATGGTTCCGCTCGGAAACAATCAATTTGGTCGACCTATAAATCCCCCCTGCTCAAGAAAATCCTAGATCCGCCCCTGGTGTCGACTAAACTCAATTATCTGATACTGTTCAAAGTTGTATCAAACTATTACCTTACTGCAGCTCTGGGACTGAAGAGTAGTGAGATACTCACCAACAAGATCAAGGGCTTGGGAAAAGGACAAGACGGCAGTGAAGGAGTCAAAAACAGAAGTGCGTTCAGATCTGCACTCTATCCGCAGGTGATGGAGCACAAATTTAATGTGGAGAAGTCTTCAAATTTTTACAAGTTTCTTATGAAGTTCAGTGCATTTCTATTGTTAAAAGGAAGGCGAGTTCCACTATCGAACAGCAAAAGTGTAAAGGTCTCGAAAAACGTGATCGATTTCGAGTTTCGAAAATGGAAATTAATTATCAGATTTCCCAGCGAAATAGAAGTTTTGCCTATTGATCCAGTTTTCTCAAATTGGGTTAAGTTAAACAAAAAAGTGTCCATCATAAATTTTTCTACAAATCCAAAGAGCTTTAAGGGCATAAATTTTTATCTTCGAATTTTACAAGTCGTTTTTTTCAGTTTCTTTTCCATTACTCTTTTCCAACTGTCAGTTGGCTATGTTCAAGTTTTATTCGTTTCGTACGGTTAATTTAAATCAGCACTGTACTTGTATTTTGTTTTAAAGTTCAGCTCCTTTCCTTTGTTAAAAGGAAAGCAAGCTCTGCTATCGAACAGTGAAAGTGTAAAGTTCAAATTTCAAATCGAGTTCTAGTTTCAAACATGGAATTTTGTTTTCAGATTTCGAAATAATATATTTTCAAAATTCAGTGAAATAAAAAATTTTACTTGTTGAGCCATGTTTCTCAAATTGGGTTAATTTTATCAAAAAAGTGCCAGTCATAAGTGTTCCAGAAATTCAAAGAGCTCTAAGGGCATTTATTTTTTTTCTTTGAAACTCGAAAGTTGATTTTTTCAAAAAGCAAGTCAGTTTTTTTCTGTTTATTTGCGTTCATTGACTCTCTTCCAACTGTCTGTTGGCAATATTTTAAATTTGTTTGGATCCCGTTTCTTTTTCGTTTTCTAAACTTTGTTCGATTTATTTTGACGTTTTCTTTTTTTTGGCTTTCTTGTTCTTCAGTAAACGAACTACTGAAACAGATGAAATGTGCTTTTAAAGTTCAGGGAGCTTTTCAAAAGACTTTTCTCTTCGTTTTTGGGAAAAGCTGTGATTTAATCGATTCTTTTTTTATTTTAAGCGACTGTTTCAGGTGAAGAAGGAGAAATTGTTGCCGAATCAGTTGAGATGTGGTTTGCATTGTGACTATGGCTGTCTCACATTCATATACAAGACGCCCTTTGAAAAAGGACTCAAAGCCAAACAACGAGGAGGTAACAGAACGAAGAACTGGCATATTATTTAGTTGGGGGATTTCGATTTATTTTGGAAAATACGTATTTTGGCATTTCATTTGAGAGGGTTTTGATTAGCTCCTGGATCAAACACTTTTTGACCAAAGCTTTAAATTGCAACCGAGGTTGCCTAGTTTTTACTCACGTTATTGTTCCGACCATTGAAAGTGGGGAGGAACTTTTTATTCGGGTGCGTTTTAGTTTTTTTTCCAAGCAAAATCAGGTACACAGTTAATCATCAGAATCGGTTAATCATCAGAAGTTAATCATCAGAAGTGCGTTTTAGTTTTTTTTCCAAGCAAAATCAGGTACACAGTTAATCATCAGAATCGGTCGAGAAAAACTTTATCTTACCAAAAGAAACACCAGTTTTTGAAGCTTCATTTAGCGCTTTCCAGGCAATGAAAGTTTTCTACAATTTAAAAAGAGATCAGAAATTGATTAGAAATATATATATATATTTTTCATTTTTTCCTTTCTGTGTTTAAATACAATTATCGTTTATCGTTTATGTCTGATTTACACTTTTTTACGCCTTCGTTTAGGTCTCTCATGACAGCGCACACAAAATGACCCTACTTGAGAAAAAAATTTCCAAAGTGTCAGTTTCTTACTAATGCGGCATTAACTAAGCGAAAACTGGATGAACTGGAGTGAAGGTCCTCAATTAGAGAACAACTATTTGTAAAACAATGCCTATGATTAAACTGTGAACGTTTATGCTGGAAAAAGTACCTGTCATTTTTATGAGGGTTGCTGGTTTCTGTCCACATAGAACAGAGTGTTCCGACGGCTATTGTCATGGGCCTAAATTTTTTCGAAAACTAAAAAATACGGCTTTGTAATATGCTCTTAAAATATATTATTGAGCTATAAGTGATGGATTTACACTTGCGAAGCTAGTGTATTATTATGAACCTTCTTTTTTCTAACCTAAGTCGCAAATATTGGTGCGTCACTTCAATGATGCACCTTTACAGCTTTCTGATAGCATGTGCTTTGACATTCGAATAGTAATAAATTAACAGTTGATGCATTTTTATTTCATTAAATGAACCAAAAAAAAAATATTTGTTTCAAACATCACAAAAAATAAAAACTCGATGTCAGAAATTTTCTTACTCAATATGTCACGCAATGTTTTGAAATGCATAAGTTATACATAATGTGTCTTTATGCTTTGCGATTTGTTAGATGCAAAGTTAGTGTGGATGCTTTCAGTTTGTTATATTCCTAATTATTAACTGCAAAATTGAGTCTATTTGTATTTGGTGCTGAATCGCATTGGCAATTGGTTAGCATATGTAGCTGCTTTATTCGAGACTAGTGTTTGTCGGTTGTTAAGCTTGAGTGGCTGTGGGGATAGTGCGTGAAACTCGAAGTCTCTTGATTGCAGAAGGCGCAGATTCGAATCCTACACGTAGCCGAGCTTTTGCTAATTCGAGGCTTATTTTTTTTTCTTATTTAACTTGATAGAGCTCGTGTTCTCGCACGATTTTTGGTCGTGTTCTCGCAAGTGTCTGTTTCTCCACTGTAAATATTTGGTTCTGTGAATATAAATGGTTCATTCTTCTCTTTTAAAACATCTTTAGACCAACTATTAAAGACACTTTTTGGTCTTTTTTCAGAAAAAAATTTTGTTCACTCATTAACTGTCTATTCAGTAGCTGAATAATGGTAAACAATTTACGCTCTGCAACAAAGTACAAATAGTTACAAATATATATTCGGTTTCCTTGTGTTTATTGACTCTTTTCTAATTGTTTGTTAGCTCTTTTGTTTAATCATTAGCTCCGTGGTCAGCTTCGCTGCTGCTCATGTTACATTTTTGTGAAAAAAAACTATCGCGAGTTGTTTGCTTAAGTATAATGTGTTTTGTACTTGTGTATGGCGTGTGTAGGCGACATGATAGATGTGTTCTGTAGTGAGGAGGGGGATCTGATTGTGAATGCGGGAGAGTGTTTGCAGATGATCACAGGCGACCTCATCAGAGCAGCCCCACATCTGGTCCAGTTTCCAACCGCAGCCACAGAAACATCCTGCGACAATTGTAGTCAAATATTGATAAATATGAATTGAGCGAATTTTAAAGGCGTACTCATGAGTAAATTTCAAAAGCATACTCATGAGCCAATTTCAAAAGCATACTCATGAGCGAACTTAGAAAAGAATGCTGGGCGAACGCATTCGTTTTTCCCACCAAGTCTTTTTTTTGGAAGGACGGGAATGTATATTCGTGTTTAAGAAGGTAAATAGCTATATGGACTTAGTCTCCACTTCTTGCGCTTGTGTGTGCTCGGGAATGTTTTTGGTTTCTGATTGAGGCTCAACTTTCAAGTTAATTCTATGTGTCGCTCAATTTGCGTTCTGCAAGAACAAAATGGAAGTGGCGCTGAGCTTTTAGTTTTAAATTGTTTATAAAAACAGAAAAATATTTAAATTGTTTATAAAAACAGAAAAATATATATTTTTTTCAGTTATGGTTTTGTTTTTAAATGTCTGTTCAGTTTATTTGCTCATTAAGATATTTTTCAAATATGCTCTTTTTCTGGAAGTTATGGTTTGTGCTGTGTTTCCAATTCAGACGCTATTATTCCTTCGGCCTTCAGTCTCATCATGTTCGGCTTGTTCGACGACGACGCCCAAGTGGAGACCATAGAACAGATTGGCCATACACGAAGTGGACATAAGAAGACCACACTCTATGCTCCCTTTATGTTCGGGGACTACTTTGACATGCGCATCAACAAAGTGTTCGTAGAGGGACAAGGGCTCATTCAAGAACTGTTAGAGTGATCATAAAAAGAGTCTTAGAGTTAAATGCATAAACCAGACTATCTGAGACGGGAACTTCGTTTTAAAAAAGTAATCAGATTGAATGACCCGAATTGATTATAGTTTGCTGGAAGAAAACTCTATACTATCAATTCCATGATCATATATCTATTGCAGAAATTGTCTGAATTGCGATCCTTTCCAGTCATTAGCTTTAATTTAAATAGAAAAGAAAATTTAAAAAGAAAAAATAATGAAAGAATGATCAATTGTAGACAACTGTTTTTGCGAAAACTGATATAAACCAATACTTTGAAATCAAGTACCATTTGAGGCAGGGGCGGATTTAGGGGGAAGGCGGACGCCCCCCCCCCCCAGGGATTCGACCCCCTGCCAACCCAAAGGGTCCCCCCTTTGATACTTTTTCAGAAATCCATTTTTGGCGGACCGACCCTAAAATTTTTCTAAAGGCGCCTTCGGCGCCAATGTATACTAACTTTGAGGGGGAGCGCGCGCCGAAAAAACGCAATTTTTTTGTCACAATTTTTAAAAAAGTGCCCAAAAACGGCTTTTTTGACTGTTTTTTCAAAAATTTGCCTGCGGCGCAGAAAACTTTGCCAAAATAGGGGCAAAACAGTGCTTTGGGAGAGCTCGAAAAATCAATTTGGTCGACCTAAAAAAAAATTTGGTCGACCCCCCCCCCCCTCCCCCTCGAGAAAATCCTAGATCCGCCCCTGATTTGAGGTAAGAGTTTGATGTGTTTTGACTGAAAGTTTTGCTTAATACATTTGTATTTTCATAACCAGAGTAAACTATCTATTTTTATGGTCAGTAATAAAAAAGTAATTTATATTTATGTAGGCTCTTTTGTGAGATGTGCCAGAGCAAGAAGAGGCAAGCTTCAGCGGAGAAATGGTCAGGCTAATTTCGCGCCGACTGTATCAAAAAATATAGATTAGCGGTTAACACAAGTTAACGAGTACTAAAATACTAGTGCAGAATGTAAGCACAGCTTCGCAAACGTTCGCTACTGTAAAAAATAACAAATCAGTCTGCAGACAAATTTTAGAAAAAAAAAACAAATATATGCAAACAGTTATGCAAATGCAATTATTTTGTGAAAGAGTTCCAGCTGTATTAATTAGTGAACACAGTTATACTTGCAGGTAAAATTGAGCTGAAACATTGAGCGACAGTTTGATAAATAGATTATTGTTGCATAGTTCTGCCGACAAAAAATGTTTGAAGATTTCAGCTGACCTACGCACACTCAGTTTTGCGCCTATCCTGTGTAAATTTTGGACTCGGAATGCAAAAAAAGCTAAATTTTGTCGTCAATAAAAATCCACATTTTGAGCAAATGTTTGAGTTTAGTTGGTTTAATAATTGCTAGATTTTTCCCTTTAATAACATTCTTCACAGGACTCAATTCCTGGAAGCGTCCGTTAGCAGCAGCAACAAATTTAGACGAACATAACTACAGACATTTTCTGCATGTTAGCATTTTGAATATCTGTCCTATTCAAAATTTGTTCTTTGTTTGGCTGTGGTTTTACCAACTCAAAATTTTTTTGTTCGATTTTGTTTTCTTCGGTATGATAGGTTTCGGCTGTTATTATATCGGCTTTGTGGCGGCCATATACTGCGTTGCTTGACGAGCAAAAAAAATCTGTGTTTTTTGAGGGCGATGGGGACCTAATATTTTTTTTCGACTTGAAGGGTTTCGGCTTTGTTGCCGGTTGCTAAGTTTTGATCCGATGATAATTTCACATTGTTTTGTCTGCCATTTATTTTTTTTCAAAACGAGCTTTACCCAGTTTGATTGAGTAGTTTTTTCGACATTTTCTAGTTTTTTTGTTTCATTTTTATGGGCTTAGCGGCTTTGTTGTTTTGTTCGTAAGTGCTTTGTCTCTATGTATAAAATTAATCTTTTTCAATCTCTATTATATGTTTTTCGTTTGCAAACATTCTAGAATTATTTATACAGAGGCTGCGAATCGATTCACACAGTTTTGCCAAGACCCAAATAAGCACACGAATAATCAATGAAATTAAATTAAAGAAACCAAATAAGCACACGAAGTTCAATTTTTTATCCCAGAGTATGTTTTTGTCTGTGGCTGACGAAATCTTAAATAAATACGAAACTTTAAATAAAGATTTAAGCCGAGTATGCAAATATTTAAACCAAATTAACACAAATAAACTCAACTGTTGCCTATAAACTAGCGTTTCTGAAAATTCAAACAAAGTGAAAAAATTTTTACGAAAAAGAAACTGTTGCCAGAAACAGCTTCAAACCCACCAAACCAAGAAGATTTTCTCGGAAAGCATTTGACGAATGAAAAAAAGCGGCGGCTTAACCATTGGAAGTCTTTAGGGGATAAATTTTTTGAAATAGATTGGTTTGAGTAGTTGTGACAGAATAGTTAGTATGGGCAAAAATTTAGCGATGTATAGCTTACTAAGGGGTGGAAGGCTCTACAAAGTGTTTCACGGTGCAAAAACGCCTCCAAAAAGGTCAGCGTCAAAAAAGACTTGATGGACTTCTGAAAAACATTTAGTTTTACAGATAAAGATATCCAGGTACCGAGAAATCACTAATGGTTAAAAGTCTGCAGAGAAAAAAGAACTAAAAAGAAACTTTATGACGTCCGGAGGAATGTGGAAACACGAAACTAATGCAAGCAATTATGCAATCCGCGACAACAGTTGTCACAGAGAAGAAAAAATGTCACCGAGCACAAGTTTGATTTGGCAGCAACATATCTTGAGATGTCAATAACCTTGTTCATGGAAGACTGAAATTAGCAGCAGTAAGATATAACTGGAATCATCAATCGTAAAACACTGCTTTCTGTTCCAAATAATTTTATTTGAAAATTTACTATCAACAAAGCGCCCAGCTCAAAAACCAAAGAAAGGTCATCCAAAAATTTGTCAATTTTTTCATTCAAAACTGGTAAAAGAAATAGTTCACCGCTCACCGAAATAAAGTTTCAAAGAAAAAACACAAACACTAAAAACTGTGTTATTATTAAGTTAGCCGCATCAAAAAATATCAAAAATAAAAGTTTGTAAACTAAATTAGGATAAAATTTACGCCCTGATAATGGACACCATGGAAACCAGTACTAGACGCAACGCAAAAAAAACAATGGATGTCAGTTGGAGAGGGTTCAGAACAAAACTAGACGTGACTCAGAAAAAAAAGAAAGAAAATAACATGAGTTTGCTTTTGAAATTGCATTCAATTGTGCTTAATGCAAACAAGTGGACGCAAAATTCACATACCACAAACTTCTTTCAACGGAAATAAGAGCGCTTGCCTGGACCGAATCGATCCTCGGATCAACCGTAGAAACCTCCATCCTCCTCCCTAAGCATGTAATAATTCTGATAAATAATTATGTATAAAATATACGTTTCAAACAAACGCGCAAAGTACAATTATGTTATTTTTTATTCAATTTTTGACTTGATGGGCTACAAAATTAGCTATATTGACGTTTTAGTTATGTTTTGATGATTAATACTGTTGTGTAGATGATATTCTCTTCAAATTTTTTTCTTGGGAAAATATCGTAATTTCTCCCCATCCCCTTCAAATCGGTTTTTGGGGAATTATACTATTGAATACCAACTAAAGGCAGTCTGAAAATTCAAGGCTTTGCATTGATATACGAATGTTATCCACTGATATTTCTATTATGTTTGCTAGACGTAACAGCTGTTGTAATTTAGAGCCTTTTAACGGATCCGTAACTTAAGCATAAAAATATATAAGCATAAAAAAATGAAACTTGTGGAAACATGTTCAATTACATCTCAGCCCATCAGAAATAATGATACTACTACTAGCCACAACATTCCGGCTTTTTATTTAATATATTAGAAACTTTTTCAAGAAAGTTTTCCACAAGAATTGATTTATCTTCTTTTCCGTATTTTGTTTAAAAAATGGTGAAAATGAATAATTAGCAGGGGCGGATTTAGGGGGGGTGGAGGGAGCTGGGATTCGACCCCCCGCAGGGATTCGAACCCCTGCCGACCCAAAGGGTCCCCCTTTGATACTATTCAGAAATCCATTTTTGGCCGACCGACCTTAAAGTTTTTCTAAAGGCGCCTTTGGCGCCAATATATACTAACTTTGAGGTGGAGCGCGCGCCAAAAAAACGGGATTTTTTGTCAAAATTTTTCAAAAAAAAGCCCAAAAACGGTTGTTTTTACTGTTTTTTCAAAAAGCAGAAAAGGCGCAGAAAATTTAGCCAAAATAGGGGCAAAACAGTGCTTTGGGAGAGCTCGAAAAATCAATTTGGTCGAACTAAAAAAAAAGTCGTCAAAATTTTTAATTTTTTTTTGAAAATCCGCCCCCCCTCGAGAAAATCCTAGATCCGCCCCTGATAATTAGTCAAGCTTCTGCTATTGAACGGCCTTACCGAAATGTTCATCCGGTTCTTTAAATGCCACGATAAATATTGTTTTTTTTCTAGAAGTGCAATAAAAAAAATCAATAAAAAATACTGAAAAATTTGTGTGCGGGTTTATTTTTTGTGTTTTGCTTTCAGCACTATAGTCAAATTCTTCAAATTGTTCAAGAAGCAATTTTACTAGGCTTTAAGCACTGGCTCAAATGAAAGTGCGTTTTTAACCATTTGGAAACATGTGGGTTCCTGGATTGGTCCACTAGTTGTTAATGAGAAATTTGTTTTTTTTTATAAAAAAAAAACTGCTCCGAACTATTGTCATAGGAAGTTTACAAAAGCATACTTAATTAATTTAGTGTCGGTTCCGATATTGACTAAAATTTGGGATAATTATGCTGAGGTAAATTTTTAAAAAGAGAAAAATTTGGTTTTCAAATAACAATTCTTAACGTAAGTTTTCCAAGCCCCAATAAAAATATTGACTCCCTGATATCAAATAAAAGTAGACTTTTTTGCAATATTTTTAATAATTTTCTGTTTCAAAATTGCCAAATTGCATAAATTTGCCCGCTTTACAAATGCTTAACATTTTTCTGGCTGTTTTTTGAAAATTTATTATTATTGGTTGAGTCCGATGGTCTTTTACTTCTTCCGTAAACCGACCATGAAAATCTTTTTGCGGAACTTTGATGATTTTTTTTCTAATATTCAATGGAGATTGGCCTATCAGCAGGTGTTCAATTAGCACGCCCATGTAAAAGAAATTCGGTTCAAGGTTCGCTATTTCTTTATTTCTATTTGATGTTTTGATCAGCGTGCATTTAACCGAGATTTAATTAGGCAAAAATAAAATTTATATTTCCCTGGTAAATCAAATGGTTTCC